GGGGAATTAAGGAGAGGTTGTGCAATCGAGCTCTGCACACCATCTACACGTAGCCAACGTCCTCGGAATTCATTCAAGCCCCCTTGAACTGCAAGTCCTTTAACTGCAAGCTCTCCGGCTTATTGCCAAGTGAAGCCAGACAAGTCATCGCCAACTTCAACGCATCTTCAAGCTAGGCCCCTTATTTATTTTTGTTGTTAATTATTAATTATCTTCCGGGAACAGAATCCCTGGGTTTTTCTTGTTATTTTGAAATATACATGTATGTATCCTTTAGATTTAGGATATTTGTATTTTCGCACAGCGTGTGAAAACTTTCCGCTATCTTGGCCGGAAACGCACTAATTTCCACTAGTTGGCTGGCAATAAAATGGCGTAAACTAGTAAACAAATAAATAATGTAAGCAGGTGTCATAATTTTCATATTATGCCAGCTACATTTGTTTACCGGATTACCGGAGTATGAACCCAGTAAAGTCAGAGGAGGAAAGAAATTAGAATAAATCTTACATAAAACTAACATGGAATACATTAATCTGTAAGTGCTTGTGGTATATTAGAGGAAGTAAGATAACTTCGATTTATTTTTCCGCCGACTCAGACCATGTCGTCTGGAATTATTTAAAATACAGTCCATTTTTTTCAAAACCCTGGAAATCCTGATTCTGACAATAATAATATATTTCATTTTTGGCGTTATAACCGCATTGCAGTGCGTTTCTAATCCACCTTCAAAAATGCTGGCGTTGTGCGATGAGTGATGTACAGTTTCAGTAAATTAGTAGTTTCAGTGAGGCACATTTTAAGACTTTTTGGCAAAACCGCCCTTTGTTTCTTCCAAAAGTAGTTTTGTCCCTTCGGGGGAGGAGACATGGCCCCAGTTCACCTTCCTCTCCTGGACTCACCCTTGAACCGATTACACCGGTCTTGGGAACACACGTATAAATATCATCCCAGCCCAACCCCTGCCAACTCACCGGTGTTTCGGGGCAAGCTTCGAAGCGATACTCTTGGAGAACTCGAGTCAGAAAGACTTTCATTAGGAGCAGGATGAGTTTCACGGCGACACAGGCCCGTGGACCACCACCAAAGGGAAGCCATGCCAATGGTTCGACGGAATCCTTGTTCTCAGGGCTAAACCTAAGATTTCAATTTGGGGTGAAGAACATCAGGTACGCGGCATCGACATTTTCCCTTAAAAACACCGTTCTGTCTTAAATTTTTCCACCCTCCGTCCTAAAAATGCATGAACTTATTACTTGGAAACCCAGGCATGACGTTTAGCAGTTTTATTTGAAGGACAGGGTCAGGAGACATTAAGTATATGTTTCATCGGACTTTTGTTGATGTTTCTACTACAAATTCACATATACAAGTACAATGTATTTGATATTCGTCCAAAACGCGTTTCATATGATTGCCACCACATGCCAACATCGTGAATGTTTACCACAACCGATAAACAATGTCAACGCTATTGCCAAAAAATACAGTTGTTCGGAAGTTGTATACGTTAAATTTTTTTGAGTCCTTCATCACAATGAAAATTGTCCTTCGCAGCTTACATTTTCCAAAGCGCAGTGCTTCCGTAAAAGGAAGCGTGAGTCGTTTTATCAACTGCACTCTAAAAAATGTGCTTAGTGTTTAAAAACATTTTTTTCTCGTTCAAACGAGTTCTCAATCTCGTTTAGATGACTATATCGTTTCAAGCAACGTTCTTCCCTTGTTTAAACAATTAAGTATCATTATCAACTGATGTTTTAGCACCTGGTCACGTGTGTTCACTGTACCACGTGGGTTAATAAATTCCTCGAGGCCTCTCCACGGAAACCAGAATTCTAAGCTTTCCATCGTCTGTCACGACAAGTAATGAGAGCAACCCGACTTAAACGATGTGGTAACATCCAGGAAATGACTCGTTTCATTATTTGGACGAAGTAGCTGAGTTGTTCAAACGGAAGAGCTCAGTCGATTGAAGGAGATGGTGAGTGATTTCAACGACTTAAAGATACAAAATGTATATCGTCGAATACAGTAGCACGACATCACGTATTACGAAATTGTCTGGCAAAAGACGAATCTACTTTTGTATTTACTGACCAGGGTTCGGCAAAGGAGGAACGAAATTAAAAGCTCCTAGCCTGAAATGAGTGTTTATGTTTATGGTTCGCAAGTTTGAAAATTTAAGTCAGTATACATTTGAAAGTCGATTTCTGAGGAAAACCCACTGAAGAAGCTTTACAGTTCTATTCTGATTTTGTGTAATGACTTTCAAAATATTTTGTATGACATTTTTTACCTCTCGGGTCGAAATTCCTCTGGATTTGGCCAAAGATCCTCATCATGTTGCACTGAATAAGCCGGGATGTGGACCACCAATCCCTTCGGCAGAGTGTACTTGCCGTATGTTACGGTCTCTGCGCATTCCCGGTCGGTTCTGTCATACAAAACAAAGGGAGGGAAAGAAACCAATGGTATTCTTTGTCGTCCAACACAATGATCTTAGCGGAAACAGCTTTGCCAGGAAAGTAATGCCATGCATGAACGCGAGGTGAAGCTTGAAGTTTGGTGGTTATCAGAGTGGTACCTGTGAATCCAAGGGACAGGGGTAAAACGGAGTCTTGTCTTCCAAGAACGACTGTCCAATCCGCTTCCTCAGTAAAAGACTCCTCAAGGCACCCACCCTACCCCAGGGTAGGTAATGTGCCGTTTCTGAAATGCCAGAATAGACGGGGTGGGGTGGGGGAGCAACTAGTGTCCAACGTGCCTCCTTGAGGTGCAACCAGTGGTAACACCAAATAACAAACCTTGTTCATATCGCATTCCCAAAATTGGAAGATTCCGTATCAAGATCGCTGAGGTGCCGCAGTTCTGAGCCATCGCATATACTATTTGGTGTGTTACCAGCCAGCCAGCCAGCCAGAAAACAACCCTCCACATTATATTTGCCTCAGGTATGTCAAGTGACTGTGCTACTAAGTTTACACGGTGACAGGTGGCTGGTCTGTACTAATAATGTCTGAAACAATACAAAACTTTGCTTAACTTTCCGAAAAATGCAAAAGAACTTACGACACGACCGGGGGATAAAGGCGAAAACACTCGTATATCACCATCTCCATATATTTCATTTTGCTCATTGTGTCGTAGTTAATGTCTTCGGGGTTAGGCGCATTCCTGTCGATCTCTTCGATGATTTTGTCCTGAACTTCAGGGCTCAGAGCAAGCTGATAGGCGGTGCATGTCAGGATCGTGGTCGTTGCTTCGTTACCTACGGACAGCTGAAGCACATTCTGTTGGCAAAACGAACAGAAAATCTGAATTCTCCTAGAATTTCCTAGTATTTGTATAATATTAATATCTTCGTAAGAATAAGAGAACAGCCAGTGAGGCACTTTCTGTTTAAAAGGATATTTGTATAACGATTCTTTGAAAGCTTGATCACGTTGGACAAAGAGCTTTTGTCATCCAAAGACGAAATTTGATAAAACCATAACAACCAAACCTGCACGCGCGTAGCTTTAATATAGCTCTGTGTGAAAGCACCATGTACCACAACCGTTATTTGTGTATGCTGTCCTTACACGTTGAGTTTATTGTAGGCCTATCATTGTTTAGAGTATCATATCGGTCCACTTTCTTTCATATTAATTAATATTATTAATTGATTTCTTTCATATTATTAGCTCCAGCATATCGCAATCAAAATGGACCGGCCAAGTGGTTTCTGTATGTTTTCCACACCAAGCATCTCAGTAGAGGCGTAACAGGGGGGGGGTTACCCAGTAGCGAATGCCTGTGCCCCCCACCCCCATTTAAAATCTGTGAATAAGCTCTGTCGAAATGCAGCTGCAGCATTTTTCTTAAGGTACCCCCTTGAAAAAAAAAATGTTTGCACCCCCAGGTGGCTCCACCACAGACGTTTAGCCTTAGTTACGTCAATGCATCTCAAAGTATCTACTGGTCGTGTATACGCTTGCTGAGAACCGTCATTAAACAAAGTAACTTTGGGGTAGGTTTCTGTGACATGAATTGAGATTTCTTTTTGGATCGACTGTAACTGGCCGAGTAGGCCGGGCCGTATTACTAGTCGAATTTACTGAAACATAAAGCCCAAGAAACAAAAAAAATGTCCTTTGAACTGAGCATTAACAAGGTTAATAAAGACACCGAATACATTTACAATTTGAACTACCACAACAAACAAATGATACTACAGCGCGTGCGGTCAAAGTATCATTTACCATTCCTATAAACTCGTTGTAGGTAAGTTTCTTGGGTTTACCAGCCTCTTCTGGAGACTTTTCGCTTCCAGGAACATTTGTGTTTTCGTAGAGCTGCTCCACCAAAGTTATATACTGAAAGTTAACAAGAAGATTAGTTTTAAAAGCAATGGTTTAATACACAATTTACAAAATATAGAATACTCCTAGCCAGGTTGCTGCAGCCTTTCGTGAGTTAAATTTGAAAAAAAAAATGACACACTGAGTCTTTTAAATTCACGTGAATACACTTTGAATTCTCCGTACATAAGCACCGTTGCTATACAGACATCGGGATTCGGGGCAAGCTTTTGCTTAGTGACATACGAGACGCCCTGCAACAGTATCTCAATGGATAAGAAGGGTACAAAGGAACCAGACCATCCCAGATATGGTGGTCACTAAGCAAAAGCTTGCCCTGAATCGGGAGGTATGGCAACAGTGTCTTTTAATCCGGAGAATTCAAGTATCGACAAGAATAAAATATCAAATCAGTGCTCTGAAATACGTGATTGCCGAGCTTTCGGTAACTGAGTAACTTCTTCAGGGCAAGAACTGAATATGCTTGCCTTGAATAAGGTACTCAGCGAAACCTCGGCAATCACGGTTATTAAGGGCACGATTATTCAGGGCAAGCATATTCAGTTCTTGCCCCGAAGAAGGTACTTTGTTACCGAAAGCTCGGCAATCACGTATTTCAGAGCACTGATTTGATATTATATTCTTGTCGATACTTGAATTCCCCGGATATATTTTTTCATATATGAAATTGTGATTGTTTTCTATAGACGAACACGCTCAAATGGCGGCATTTACCAATGTCGCTTGTCATGACGATGTAACCCTTATGATGGACTTTGTGTCCCTTCACTCTAAACACCAGGGTCAGACTAACCCGGAATATGGGTCTCATGGGGCCTTACCCTTTTTTGGGTCATGTATGACCCAAAACAGATCATAATTTGAACCGGAAAAGGGTCAGGACCCATGGGACCTAAATTCCGTGTCAGTCCGACCCAGGTGTTTTTAGAGTGGATATCTTCAAAGTCAGTAATTATACCGTATTCCACTCAGTGTGTTTAAGTACCAACGACGAGGACTTTTATAACGACGGCCTTGTGCACAGCAACTGTCATTACACAAACATTGACTGTTTCGAGTGGTCAGAGCTATATGGAGAGACTTTTGTGCCAACTTCAGACTCTTGAACTAAAATAGTTAATCGTTATGTGTGCAGTACTGCAAGAAGCTACCATTTTAGTTCCATAAATTTAAACAATTATGTCGCAAATCTTCCCATAAATAGCTCAGCGAGTGGCGTACTGACAGGGGCGGATGCAGCAATTTCCCCCGGGGGGGTTAGGCTGGAAATATTTTTAATGTCTCATTTGCGGAAAAGCAGACAAGTAACATGATGAAGCATTAGAAACGTACATGACATACACTGTTTACAATGGTATTGTTGCACTATATTTAATGAAGTTATTTTTAAAAATTATTTTCCCATTTGCCCCTTTTTGCCCAGACCAGACTCGCGCCTTAGTAAGACTAACCTCTCGAGCTGATCCATAGGACATTCTGCTTTCCCGCGGCGAAGCCAAGGGAAACTAAAATGTTCAATGATCACTGAGATATACTGTGGTTTCATTGCACAGCAAGATAAAGGAGTTAGTTTTATCTTACAACAATTTTCCAACACGTTCCCCTTACTCTGCTAATATCTGATTAATTTGATATTGAAATCTACTAGCTTTTTCGGAACTACCTCTTCATGATGAGTAACGCGCAGAGAACAACGCACCCATTGGTTTAATTGCACACAGTGTCGGTGGTCATAGTTCTTTGGTTGCCAAGGGGTACAGTTCGAACGGTATTAGTACAAAATAGCAAAAGACAGCAAATGCTGTACAATATCTGCATAACTTCCTATTATCACTAATTATTATCAGTGGATTGTTGATCACTTGTCACTGAATTGTTCGTTCTATTCTGCGGAACCTGTCGAGCCGAATTTCACTTGACTGGTGTAACGTTCTCATTGTTTATCGGCCGTACTCGGATATTAGGATTTCCTATGAAGACGGCGTCCTTTGAAAGGGATGTATACCCCTATCGACCAAAGATTACGGATGACCACTAGTATTGTGTGGGAATGCATACTGAAATGCGAATTGCGCACATCACAAAATGCTAGCACTGTAGACCTGGATTCCAACACTTTGTAAAGAGGATAAAGTGGTAGTACATTTTTTTTTACAAATTTCTTTTATCTAAATAATTTTTAAATGTATCAGACAATAAATTTGATCCAAATACTTATAAAAGTCAGGATTGCTCAGGTTAGGGAACTCGATTAAGTGAAGACCTCTCACAAGCATGTTTTTACCGGTGAGGGCGCACTTCAACCCGAGGTGGATTATCGTCCATTCGTGGATGGCATGCCTACACTGTCCCTAGGTTGACACTGCTTACCAACCTTATTGGCACCTTTGCCCTCACGCTGTCGTATCCTGTCTCCTCCTTCCAGAGACTGATGAATCACTTTCTTGAAGAACTCAGATGACTCCTTAGAGACAATGTTGGCTCCCATCATTTCAAAAAGTGGGCCCAATGGTGGAAAGAGTACTGCAGATAAAGCAAGAAACTGTAACAGTGAAAATAGATTGTAAAGTTGGATATTTTTAATCGTGTATATCGTAAAGCCGTGCGTTAAATTCTGGAAATAGTTTTTCGGGAAACAAAAACAGAGGGCCCGATGTCTTGGTTACTTTTTTAGACTTTGTCACAGACACACAGGTTCTAGTATATTAGTCAAAACTTTGCAGTAAACATAAATGCTTTCTGGATGTTGCGCAAACGTAAGGTATGGTGCGCAATTGGTACACTGACGTGTACTTTCAAAATGTTGTTTCACAAAGACGTCAACATATTTCAGATATGCAATTCAGTGAAAAATTCTTCCACATGTTTGACACGAATTGTTCATTTGTGTATTAGTTGAATGTAGTAGTACTTGATCTAAAACCATTCTTACTTGGGAAAGGTTTAATTTCTTGAATACAAAAAATACCCTGGATATACGTTGGAGACTTGGTTGTTTGTTCGTGAAAACGAAAATAACGGGAAGTGTAACTTCTCCAGGCAAAGTGGGCAGACAGGTACTACCTCGTGTTTGTTTGTGACATTCATATTTCTGATTATTCAAAAAAGGGCATCACGGTGGAAAAGTACACTACCGATTATCAACATGCAACACCAGAAAGCACTATATAACGTGAATATGCATTACTGATAGTTAGAGTGCATCACTAATTCGTTGATCACATTTAATGCCCTTTGGCGTTTCATAATTGTAATCTGATCGGTCAGTGGATCAGGGGTATGGGTTGGTTCGTGTGTGGTTCAATGGGTCGATGGATCCATCGGTCTGTCGGTCTACCAGCGGATAAGTTGGTGGGTCGAGGGTCTGTCAGTCAGTGGGTAGGTCTACTACTTGCTTTCTTTTGAAACACAAAGAGCTCACTTGGAATCAGCGTGAACAACGTTGGGTTAAAAGCTCTCTCGATCCTAGTAACAAACGGATGGTCGAGATTGGTCTGACACTTGACGTCTAGACCCAGTATAACCGCCGCGCTGGTTTGCATGAAGAAGCCCAGAAAGATCCTCGATTCAAATATAAAAAAATATAGAGTCAGTGCAATGTTTAGTATGCGAGACATGTAAAGGAGTTCAGTTTTGTGACTGTCAATAAACCTCTTTCTTGTTTACCAACGTTTAAATGGTTGCAACATTTTTGCTTTTAACCTGTGTCAAACCCCATCCATTGGAATCATTTGCACTTAATTAAAATGCACGCTTATTGTTGCTAAATTTCATTTTATATTATAAAGACTTTAAAAAGCTTTAAATTTTTAAAGTTGCACGACATTTGAAAAACAAAATAGTGTAAATCATAACTTTGTTCATGACGGTCAGCCTTAATTTGCAAACGTCTGTAGGCAAAAATCTATTCGGTAATAAGAAAGACAATTCACATCGTCTCTGCGTATGTATTTACACCTATTATAAGCGGTTGCTAACGAAAAAGTTAGACACCATGCCTAGGATCCTCCTCGTATTGCTAGATACAGAGCAAAAAGTTAAACAGTCCGCATGTCAACCCTTTGCAAAGTGGCAATCAGTTTGTAGTCCCCGCCCCCTCCCTGCGCACAAAAAATGTATATTTATATTTACATGTACTGGCTATGTACAATGGGGAAGTCCATTCAATGGTTATGCAAATTGGAATAGGCCCCCTATCAGAGAAAACATGTTTTCATGAATATTGACGACAGTTCCCCCAAATCAACAAAGTGGGTTTGGAAAAGGGCGGCTTGTTCTCTTTCGTCACTGTTTGCATGCCATGGCTTTTTAATAAATCTGCTGAGCCTGTGGAATTGTGCGTGGTGAGAAAAGGTGACCTTTGTCCCAAAAATGATATCAGATTTCTTTTACAACCTCATACCTTTAAATATATGAAAATGGAGCACTATAAATAGCACTGCTTCATAATAACTTACATGACTACAAAGAAGATGGCTCTATTTTGGGGGGTAAATACTGGTGTTAAACGTCCGTTTCGGAACGTTCACTGTCTTTGTCCGCTGTTGACGTACATCTCGAACTTCTGCAATTCGCTATTTCTAGTCCCACCATCTGATCGCATTAAGAGTTTGTTCAACTTAAAATCCTCCACAATTGAATGGACCACTCACACACTCACACAAGCACATAATTATCGTGACATTAACAAGTGCATTCCTCAGCATCAAACATTGTCAGTGGTCTGGCTAGCTGTTTGGTACGTTTTGGAGGTGTAGTTCCCCATATTTGTTTTCTTTAAAATACCCCCTTTGTTTGCAGATATCTAGGAAAGTACACAAACCTTCAATTTTGAATCATGCAGCTCCAAGTGGTGTTTACCCAACGTTGAGGGGTACACTTGGTGAAGAAAATTCAGGACAGCAACATTTGTGTAAATGCTACTATCCTGTAATAATAATAAAAAAAAAAATAAGTTCACTTACTTCTTTGCTTCCAGTGGTTTGTTATGAGTGTGAGCCTTCTCTAAGTTTTTAATAAGAGGGTCACAGCAGTCGCTGAATATCCCGACCATCTAATTCAAAACCAAAAAATGAAATGTTATTAAAGAAGAGTAGATGTTGGCAAGTTTATTCAATCATTAGTGCTTCCAATATCACTCCGTTGAGACCACACACACAGGGTGTTCGTTTCATTCCAAAGAAAGTAAAATTATTCAGGTGTTTTGATAATGGAAAAAAAAATGTTCTTGTACCTGTCTTAGTTTGCTTGTTGTGAATGTCGATGTGTTAATGGCGCGGATGTCTTTCCATCGCTGGCCTTTCATGTAAGTTGGAGCCATATTCAATGGGAAACCAAGGGCAGGAATATCCTACACCGTGATCAAATAAAATCCTCTAAGAACTTAAGAAAATAAAATTAGTTTAAACAAAAACAACATCCGCAGCAACAAGAGTAGCACTGGTGAAATCTACATCGATAACAACGCAAAGCTTAAAGTAATATAGACAACGACTATAGCAACAAAACAATGTCAAATCTTAAACAATAACAACAGAACTAGCAGCAGCAGCGCATGCTGTTCAAGCGATATCATTTTCTGATAAAAATAGTTAGCATGTTTTTTCTTCTTGTTTTTTTTTATTTACATGTGCTTACCCAGTGATTCGGAAATTTACTAAAGTCGGTAACCAGAACCTTTTTCACGATGTCTATATCCGACACATAGAGAAGCGGGTCGCGGAATTTGTATATTCTGCACAGAAATGAAAATCAAACTTTTGTATTCATGAGTGCATATCCCGGGAGGATAGGAGTTATATCGCCTTCAGTTTTTGAACATGGGGATCAGTAGGCTGTTGAAGCACCCCCTCCCCATTTTATCATGGTAAGAAAGAAATCAAGGGGGATTGCAATCAATTGTGAAAAACGTGTTGGGCTTGCCAAACAGCCAGAATGTATTCAATAGCAAGCAAAAAGGACGAACAATAGAAAACCCCATGAATAGGTCGAACATATTAGAGACTTTTCAGGAATCGGACAGTATAGACCTTATTCACGGGCTGGCCTCATTGAATTTGAAAGCGGGGTTTACTCTTGATTTTTTTTATTGTTGAAAGCAATGAGACTAGAGCTAATGTGCTTCATGAAGCGCGGATATATCAGACGTGAACAGCTTTAAAGTCTGGAAATGTTGAAGGTGCACACAGGTGACTACTGGCAAATGTCAAGCTTAAACATCGTCATTGCTCCATCTTTGCATGGCTGATATAATGAAATTTCATGACAAATTCGAATCTGTATACTCTGATGAATAGTTTCAAATTCATGATTGAAGACACAGACTTGTACCTTGGCAGATTTTGAAAATTATTGAAAAGGAGGCTTGGAACGCAAGGAAATTGAAACAGTCAATAAAAGACGTTCTGAGAGACTTCTATAGCCTGTTTAATTTGAAATATAAGGCACAATGTCCTGAAATTGAGAAACTTACATAGGCTAAATTTGCTTCAAACTTCACTTCGTTCCTTACCCCACGACTTTTCCGTATTTCTTTATGCATTCTTCACCGAAGTTGTTGTTTCCTTTCTGCAAATATTGAATTTCAAGATTCGTATTAACTGCAATAACAGAGCTGCCGATATTCTTTAGGAGCAATAATTGTGCACTTCGTGATAAAGGGTGCAGACCACTAATTCAAGTGAGAATTTCTAACCAGCTCATTAGCATTAAAAGTGCCTCC